AGGTGTCACTGAAGGCTTTTAGCAGAGAGTGGTATGATCTGATTTATTTCTTTAAAAGATCACTCTGGCTGTTGTGAAGAGAAGATATTTTAGAGAATGGAATCAGAGAGACCATTGGAGAGGCCAACGTGGCAACTCAAGCAAGAGATGAGTTAGAGGCTTCAATCAGAACAGTGGACTCTTCTGGGGACTTTCCTGGTGGCACAGTGGTTAAGAATCCGCCTGCCAATGCAGGGGACACGGGTTCGAGCCCTGGTCCGGGAAGATCCCACATGCCGCAGAGCAGCTAAGCCCGAGCGCCACAACTACTGAGCCTGTGCTCTAGCCCGCGAGCCACAACTACTGAAGCCCACGCACCTAGAGCCCGTGCTCCGCAGCAAGAGAAACCCCCTCAATGAAAAGTCCGCACACCGCAACGAAGAGTAGCCCCAGCTCTCCGCAACTACAGAATGCCCGCACGCAGCAAAAAAGACCCAACGCAGCCCAAAATAAATAATAACATAAAAATAAATGTAAAAAAAAAAAGAACAGTGGACTGTTCTGATGGGCTGGATGATAAGGGAAAGAGAGAACTGTGGAGTCATTCTTAAGTTTCTACTTTAGCAAGCAACAGACGTGTGTTCTACTTACGGAGAAGGAGACACCTGGGAAGGAACAGGTTGGGGAGAAGGGGAATAAAAACCAAGTGTTCTGTTCTGAGCTGGTTCCCCTGAGACACCCTGAGTAAGGGTGTCACCTAGGAAGTTGGTCATGTGAGGCTGTAACTCAGAGCAAGTGGTCCACGACAGAGCTTTAAACGTGCAAGTCAGCCATATACACAGGGTATTCAAAGCCAAGGGACAACATGAAATAATAAGCTTTGGTTATTTGTCAGATAAGAGAACCATGTAATCTATCGTGTTTCTCTTCTTGTTGGGCTACTAGAAAAGTTCCAAACTCAATATAAATCTTAAAGGAAAATGATCTTCTCAGAGGTTCTGGATATGATGACCTACCCCTTTTACTTCCCCTCCTCTTTATGGTGTTTAGTGTTCTTCCATCTAAATCTTTTTTGTAAGCATATGTACTATTAAAAAAAAAAAAGAAAACATAAGAAATGAGGTAGTGTAATGACATGATTCGGGGAGTCAGGGGGGCTGGCTCCCACAGTGCCTTGGGTGGTCTTCAATTACAGACATGTTACCTTGGAGTTATCTGTGGGTATGTGCTTCTCTGATAGAGTAAAAACTCCTCAAGGGCATCAGCTACATCTTATTCATCTTTGAACTGCTGTGAAATGAAACAGTGTCTAACTCACAGCAGGCAGGCAATACATGTACACTAACGGCATCTGTCACTTTTCTATAAATAGAAGGGGTTCAGGCCTTATCAGAATGTGCTAAAGCTCAGTTCTAAGATGTTTTAAATGCAATACAGTACACGAATAAATACCAATCAGCCATACAGACAAATGTTAGCTATAAGGGTAAACCTTCAGGGTCTGGATTGGAAGACTTCAAGCACGAGAAAAAAACTGAGCTGGCTTTAAAAGATGCATAGCATTTGATCCGTGAAAGCCCACTGCAGAAGGAAGCCAAAGAAAAGGGGCAGTAAGGAGGCTATTCTGGATGGAAGGAGAGGAAGGAAAGGAGGGAAAGCAAAAAAAAAAAAGTGTAAGGGGAAGGGAGACCGAAAAAAACAGTTAAGGACACAGTATGGACATCCCTGAGTGCCAACAACTTCATGCTTTAGAGTTTTAGAAAGTTATACATTTCTGGGAACTTCAAAGAGATGTTTAAGGAAGATCACACAAATTCAATGTGTAGAACAGATGAGTGTTAACTAAGTCCAGGCATAAGTTAGTAAGAATCTGATTTAAAAAAAAAAAAGGAGGCCACAGGTTTCAAAAAGTCAGAGTGAACACAACTTGGTGAGTGATAGAGAAAAAGAGGATCAGATTTAACCTGGGATTTGAGACCAAAGGGGTCAGGAGAATAGTAGTATGATTAACAGAAATCAGGGAGACAGCAGGAGGAAGTGATTTTAGAAGGCGATACCATCGATTTTAGGCAGAATAAGTTTAAGATGATAGTGGCCACCCCCTACCTCCAGATTCCCACTCCTTATAGCACAATGTGCACACAATCTGCCGAAGTCCTTGCTGAGAAAATTTTTTCTTAGCAGTATTTCCACATAAACATAATAGAGAAACCCTTCCATATAATACAGTGTCTCTACGGTTGCAGAAGCAAATGTAAATGGATAAACTCATAAATACAAAAATAAAAGACATGCCAAAAATTGTCTACTTTTACAAAGCACTGTGGTTTCACATTTGGATGTTTAAAAAAAAACAACACACTATTATACGAAAAGATGCTCAATATTATTTAGTCCTGAGAGAACTGCAAATTAAAACCACAATGAGATACCAGTACACAACTATCAGAATGGGTTAAGTTTTATTTAATCTAATAATAACAAACAATGACATGGATGCAGAGCAACTGGAACTCTCACACATTGCTGGAAAATGGGACAGCCACCTTGGAAAACACTGTGACAGTTTCTTATAAATTAAACTTATATTTTCCCTATGACCCAGCAATCCCATTCCTAGGTACTTACCCAAGAGAAACAAAACCATATATCCATTCAAATACCCACGTACAAGCATTTGTAGCAGCTTCATCCATAATCATCAACAACTCGAACTTGTATCAACTAGTAACTGGCTAAACAAATTATAGTACGGGTGCACAATGAAATGCTACTCAGCACCACTAAGGAGCAAACTACTGGTACGGGATAAAACAGGAATGAATCTCTTCTTTCATATTAAATGAAAGAAGCCAAGAACAAAATACTACACAGTGTGTGATTCTATTTATATGATATTCTGGAAAAGGGTGATGATATTACATTTTGTTTAGGGTGGTAGTCATATTTTTCAAAACCTGTAAAAATGTACACTTAAAAGGAGTTTTCCTGTATGAAGATTATTCCTCAATAAATCCGACAAAAAAAAAAAAAAACTATGGCATCTTAACACTGGCTCAAAGAAAAGTATTAAAGCTCAACATTGTTATCTATGATTACTCTGAAAAATTCTAGACATACATACATTCATTCATTTATTTATGGCTGCACTGGGTCTTGGTTGCTGTGCGCGGGCTTTCTCTAGTTGCGGCGAACGGGGGCTACTCTTCGTTGTGGTGCGAGGGCTTCTCGTTGTAGTGGCTTCTCTTGTTGCGGAGCACAGGCTCTAGGCACGTGGGCTCAGTAGTTGTGGCTCGCGGGCTCTAGAGCGCAGGCTCAGTAGTTGTGGCGCACGGGCTTAGTTGCTCCGCAGCATGTGGGATCTTCCCGGACCAGGGCTCGAACCCGTGTCCCCTGCATTGGCAGGTGGATTCTTAACCACTGCACCACCAAGGAAGCCTAGACATTTCTTAACTAGCTAGCATACTGCAAATGTCCTGAATACTGCAAAGAAACAAATCCCATGCTTTTTCCCTCTTTGGGCCTCAAAACATTCCTGTGCAGAAACTGGGCCTAAGTGTCTTAGATACAGTGCAGAAGCCACGTGAATGCTGCTTATTGAGACACTAATAAAGTGAGTCTTGTTTGCTGGACAGCTGTTGCTCCATTGTCTTTTGTCATACACAAAAATAGAGAGGTGTTATGCTTATGGAATGTGACCTTCTCATTGGATAGCTATTACATCACACCCGGAAACACTGCCAGAGAAATCCATTTTCACCGTGTGCCACACGGAAAACAGGAAAGACAAAAACAAACAAACAACCATGAAAGATCCCAAAATCTGCATTAAATGAACTGTACTACTCCTTAAAATCAGATCATTTATAAGAAGTATTTCTCAATACTTAATATTGCTGAGTTTATTTTTATGAATAATGTTTTGTCTCATTTTATTATCCTTAGTATGTAACTTCAACAGAATATTTTTCAGAGTCCAAGTAACTGTTATTCTTCCAAAGACATTTTCTTTGAGCGCTCCGTGATGACTAACGCTATACAATTATGAGAGTAATTCCTTTATTTTTTGTATTATCAAATGCCTACCTAGGTACTTTGCCATTTTACAGTTTGGTCATTTATAAACCATTTTCATTTGAACAAGGGTTTTCAGATTCTTTTGATCACTATCCACAGTGAGAAATACATTTCACATTGCGACCCAGTACACAGACGCATGTATATATGTACACGCAACACTGAAGTGTGACAAAGCAAGGCTTAACCTTACCTCATAAGATGCTATTATTTTCCCTTTTGTTGTTGTCTTTAAAATGCTGGCAAACACCACATAATCCATACCGTGAGCCGCAATTTTTGAAATCATTGCACCAGGAGATGAAAAACAAATACAATGTCTGCATGTTTTGAACAAAGGCTTTCAAATTTTCATTTAATTGTTTGTTTTTAAACATATGAGTCCAACGCTGACTCACAACTCCCCACACTCTGCTCCTTCTCACTGAGGGGTCCTAGGCCTGGTGAGCAGGAAAGACAGAAGGGGCCTTCAGAAACCAAGCCCCTCCCCACTCCCATCCACCATTAGATGTGGGTGGGAAGGTCTTGGCCTTCTAGGCCTACAAATATTCAGAGCCTTGCTTTCCTTCCTTTTCCATTTACCCTCACTGTTATTCCTTAACCTCTACACACACACACACACACACACACAGAGCGAACTGAAATAAAATTCAAGCGGGTGGAAAAAGAGTTACAATACAGAGGAAAGCAAAGTTTTTCCTAAACATCTCAGGATGTCAGTTATGCCTGCTCTGCTTATTTCCCAGACCACAGACACCTAAACAAGTTTAAAACACTGAACTGGCATGTAAATCCCACTCACAAAACATTTCCAACTCCTAATAGTTTTGAGTTTTTAAACCGCTACTCAATATTATATTCTACTATTCCACACCGAAACTACTGGGTATTAATGATCATAAGATAATTAGAGAGAAGTTTTATATGAAGATTGGAAAACTTACTTTTAAGGACTCCCACAGGGGAAACTGGACCAATGAGAAAGGAATCTGAAGAGAAAAAAAAAAAAAAAAATCAAACAAATTAGGCAGGAAAGATCAGTTTGCTTAGTATGACTATATGAACCTATAATTATTATTCAGAAACATTATTTCATTTTAACTTTATGTACATAATAAAGCTACCATTAAATTTATAAGTACAGGATGCATAGTTTTTAGAAACAGAGTTAAACGGTAACTGCCTGTAAAATCTACTAAGTTTTTGAGCCCAAGGGACATAAAGTGATGCCCTCTTGAAACTGAAAGAGAAGCTCAATATGAAGAGTGTCAGGCTGCTTAAAGAAATAGGAAAATAAGTATTTTCCATCACAGGTAATGAAGACTTTAAAGATGTGACATTTTCCCGCTTAAGAGTTTGAGCTGTCTGCTGCTCAGCGGGCCACGTGTCAGGGTTGAAAAGAGAAGCAGGGAGGGGGAGAAAGAGTGGGGGAGGGGGGAGCACAGGAAGGGGGTAGTGGAGGAAAGGAGGGGAAGGGGAAGAAAGGAGAAAGGGAAGAGCGGAAAAGGGGAGGAGGGGAGAGAGAAGGAAAGGAGAGGGAGAGAGGGGAGGGAGAGGAGCGAGGAAGGACAGAGGGGACAAGGCAGGTGGATGGGAGGAGAGAAAGAAGAGGAAGCAGACAGAGCCACTTGCAGGAGGAAGCTGAGAAGCAAGGTCTGGGGACAGAACACGGGCGTGGGAAGGAAGGAAGGGCTTCTCAATGTGGAGGAGTGAGGGCTCTAAACAGTTGGGCCTGACAGCCTGATTTAGTCTCAAGCTTGGTCAGGGAGAAGAGTCATCTCTAGCAGTGAAGACAGTCAGCATACTTAGACTAAGGATTTACAATTAGCTGTACAGCAATAAGCTAGAATTGTTACCAAGCACCTTTCAAATGCCAGGCACTGTGCCAATCAGCACTGCATAGCTTTTATTTCACCGAATCCTCACAACAGCCCTTTAAGATGGGTATTATTACCATCCCCATTTTACAGATCAAGAAATGGAGGTTCAGAGATGCTGTTTAACTTGCCTAAAGCACACAGGAAGTAAAAAGCCCAGACAATCTGACTACAGGCCCCTGTCTGACTACTACTCTACCTGAAAGACATCTTATTGGATTTGCCTGCATATAAATTCACCCCCAGTATAATCTATGTGCTTTTCATTAAACTTTCTAAAATTCTAAAATAGAACCCCACCCTCCATATTTCCTAAAATAAAAATACCTGAACTCCAGGGGACCCTACCCACTAGCCTAGGTAATAATATCCACACACTATCCACTGGGCCTACGTAAGGGATGATGCTGCTCAAGCAGGTCGTGGCCCCAGTATAGTTGCTCTGTATCCAGTTCAGTTGTAAGTGAAAAGTAAACGTGGACTTTGATCAAAAACAATATGCATAGGGGTATGTGAGTGTAAGTGAGTGTGTGTGTGTGTGTGTGTGTGTGTGTCAGAGACCACAATGTTGAAGGGATTAATGGGTATTTACCTTCCCATGAATTAAGAGCACTAAATTACTTCCAAAATATTTATAGTCAACCAGAAATTAAGAGTCTAGCATCATCTGTCTTATTCTGCTGGAAGAAATGATGGTCCTGGGCTTGACAGTGGTCACAGAAAGAAAAATCTGACTTCCACTCAGGCAGGAAATGGCAGTGAGAGAGGAAAAACAAAAAAAAAATCAATGTCAATAAACTAGTTTAAGTTGACAAACTAAAATCTCATGGAATATTGTCATCTTCATAAATAAGCAAGCGCCCCATCCTGTACATCAAAGTTCCATAATAGGAGACAAACTTAGTTGAGCTTTTTTGTCACCAAAACATGAAAGCATCTGACACTGTCCATTCTGACACTAAAATGCTGTATTTTCAATTAAATTATCAAAACCCAAAAGATGGACTGTAGTTTTCATTTCTTTTTTTGGCTGCACTGCATGCTTGTGGGATATTAGTTCCCCAACCAGGGATCAAACCTGGGACCCCTGCAGTGGAAGTGATGAGTCCTAACCACTGGACCGCCATTTTTTGAAATTTATAAGATGTAATAAAATACCAAAGAGGACTAACGGTTAGTGGGATTAGAGATGACTTTAATTTTCTTTGTACTGTCTCCACCCAACTGTAAATATGTCACATTTTAACAAGAATGTAAATACTTCACATTTTTTTAACATCTTTATTGGAGTATAATTGCTTCACATTGCTGTGTTAATTTCTGCTGTATAACAAAGTGAATCAGCTATACGTATACTTATATCCCCATATCCCCTCCCTCTTGCATCTCCCTCTCACCCTCCCTACCCCACCCCTCTAGGTGGTCACAAAGCAACCAAGCTGATCTCCCTGTGCTATGCGGCTGCTTCCCACTAGCTATCTATTTTATAATTGGTAGTGTGTATATGTCAATGCCACTCTCTCACTTCGTCCCAGATTACCCTTCCCCTGCCCCGTGTCCTTAAGTCCATTCTCTACATCTGTGTCTTTATTCCTGTCCCGCCCCTAGGTTCTTCAGAACAATTTTTTTTTTTTTAGATTCCATATATATGTGTTAGCATACAATATTTTTCTATTTCTGACTTACTTCACTCTGTATGACAGACTCTAGGTCCATCTACCTCACTACAAATAACTCAATTTCATTTCTTTTTATGGTTGAGTAATATTCCATTGTATGCCACATCTTCTTTATCCATTCATCTCTCGATGGACACTTAGGTTGCTTCCATGTCCTGGCTATTGTAAACAGTGCTGCAATGAACATTGTGGTGCGTGACTCTTTTTTTTGCGGTACGCAGGCCTCTCACTGTTATGGCCTCTCCCGTTGCGGAGCACAGGCTCCAGACGCGCAGGCTCAGCGGCCATGGCTCACGGGCCCAGCCACTCCGTGCCACGTGGGATCTTCCCAGACCGGGGCACGAACCCGTGTCCCCTGCACTGGCAGGTGGACTCTCAACCACTGCGCCACCAGGGGAGTCCGCGTGACTCTTTTTGAATTATGGTTTTCTCAGGGTATATGCCAGGTAGTGGGATTGCTGGGTCATATGGTAGTTCTATCTTTAGTTTTTTAAGGAACCTCCATACTGTTTTCCATATGGCTGTATCAATTTACATTCCCACCAAAAGTGCAAGAGGGTTCCCTCTTCTCTACACCCTTTCCAGCATTTTTTGCTTGTAGATTTTTTGATGATGGCCATTCTGACCAGTGTGAGGTGCTATCTCACTGTAGTGTTTTTTTTTTTTTGGTTTTTTTTTGTGGTATGCAGGCCTCTCACTGTTATGGCCTCTCCCGCTGTGGAGCACAGGCTCCGGACACGCAGGCCCAGCGGCCATGGCCCACGGGACCAGCCACTCCACGGCATGTGGGATCCTCCCGGACCGGGGCACAAACCCACGTCCCCTGCATCGGAAGGCAGGCCCTCAACCACTGCGCCACCAGGGAAGCCCTCTCACTGTAGTTTTGATTTGCATTTCTCTACTGATTAGCGGTGTTGAGCATCCTTTCATGTGTTTGCTGGCAATCTGTATATCTTCTTTGAAGAAAGGTCTATTTAGGTCTTCTGCCCATTTTTGGATTGGGTTGTTTTTTTGGTATTGAGCTGCATGAGTTGACTGTATATTTTGGAGATTAATCCTTTGTCGGTTGCTTCGTTTGCAAATATTTTCTCCCATTCAGAGGGTTGTCTTTTGGTCTTGTTTATGGTTTCCTTTGCTGTGCAAAAGCTTTGAAGTTTCATTAGGTCCCATTTGTTTATTTTTGTGTTTATTTCCATTTCCCTAGGAGGTGGGTCAAAAGGATCTTGCTGTGATGTATGTCACAGAGTGTTCTGCCTATGTTTTCCTCTAAGAGTTTTATAGTGTCTGGCCTTACATTTAGGTCTTTAATCCATTTGGAGTTTATTTTTATGTATGGTGTTAGGGAGTGTTCTAATTTCATTCTTTTACATGTAGGTGTCCAGTTTTCCCAGCACCACTTACTGAAGAGGCTGCCTTTTCTCCATTGTATATTCTTGCCTCCTTTATCAAAGATAAGGTGACCATATGTGCGTGGGTTTCTCTCTGCGCTTTCTATCCTATCGATCTATATTTCTGTTTTTCTGCCAGTACCATACTGTCTTGATTACTGTAGCTTTGTAGTATAGTCTGAAGTCAGGGAGCCTGATTCCTCCAGCTCCATTTTTCTTTCTCAAGATTGCTTTGGCTATTCGGGGTCTTTCATGTTTCCATACAAATTGTGCAATTTTTTGTTCTAGTTCTGTGAAAAATGCCATTGGTAGTTTGATAGGGATCACACTGAATCTGTAGATTGCTTTGACTAGTATAGTCATTTTCACAATGTTAATTCTTCCAATCCAAGAACATGGTATATTTCTCCATCTGTTTGTGTCATCTTTAATTTCTTTCATCAGTGTCTTATAGTTTTCTGCATACAGGTCTTTGGTCTCCCTAGGTAGGTTTATTCCCAGGTATTTTATTCTTTTTGTTACAGTGGTAAATGGGAGTGTTTCCTTAATTTCTCTTTCTGATTTTTCATCGTTCGTGTATAGGAATGCAAGAGATTTCTGTGCATTAATTTTGTATCCTGCTACTTTACCAAAGTCATTGATTAGCTCTTGTTGTTTTCTGGTAGCATCTTTAGTATTCTCTATGTATAGTATCATGTCACCTGCAAACAGTGACAGTTTTACTTCTTCTTTTCCGATTTGGATTCCTTTTCTTTCTTTTTCTTCTCTGATTGCTGTGACTAAAACTTCCAAAACTATGTTGAATAATAGTGGTGAGAGTGGGCAACCTTGTCTTGCTCCTGATCTTAGTGGAAATGGTTTCAGTTTTTCACCATTGAGAACAATGTTGGCTGTGGGTTTGTCATATATGGTCTTTATTATGTTGAGGTAAGTTCCCTCTATGCCTACTTTCTGGAGAGTTTTTATCATAAATGAGTACTGAATTTTGTTGAAAGCTATTTCTGCATCTATTGAGATTATCATATGGTTTTTATACTTCAATTTG